TTATTATCTTTCTTACTCGAAAAACCTAAAATATCTAATTTCCTCATTCAGAAACAATCTAACCAATCAACAATCATGTTTGTCAAGCCACAACTAACTTTAAAGTAACTTCTTGGAACTATGCATATTCTTAAATAACGGGACTGTCAAATGATGAAATGAAATGTTCCATAGCTGTCCAATAAGTTAGCTAGTTTGTAAATATCTGTGTATTCATGTTTACCACTTTCCACTTATTGTGACATCTCCAACAGTGACATGCACAATTCAAACAAGTGACAAATCCCCCCTATTGGAAAGTAATGGGACCTTCCAAATTTCCAATCGCTCTTCTGTCATGCACTCTTCAGTTGCCTCCCTAAACAATGAGCTAATTCACAGAGCAGTACTAATGGGAAGCCACTTGGTATATCATCCCCAAACCTTAGAGCTCCAACAAGTACATAGTGTATATAAGCTCTGTTCACTATCGACCCTTTGCTAATGTACGGTCTGAAAACATATGGGTGTCTTCTCAATGTATAGAGCATTGTTCTTTAACCTTCCTTTCAGTCAGTGTATCATTTATGTGTATCATTATTTATTTTGATCAGGAAAGAGCACTGTTTTAAAGGTGAACAATAGAATAAAATACACTGGCAGTGATGCATAGATTTTCTTTTATTATTCATTTTGATTAGGAAAGGACACTACTTTAAAGGGAAACAAAAAGTTAGTTATACACTGCTTTAGAGAAATTAAAGATCATATATGAAATAAAAATCATTTAAGTGGTCTGAAAAAAAAAGGAAATGGTTTGACATTTTTTTCATGAAATATGAGTTTACAACAAAATAAATTGAGATATGTTGATATCTTTAATTTCCTTTCAATTTACATAACATCTACTATTTAATTCAGTGATTTTTCTTATAACTTCTATTACAGAGTACATTTTACAATGAGATATAGGATTGGCCCCTAAAAATGCATGTTTTGAACCTGGTTAGCTCTCTAAAAAAATGTTCATTTTTGTTCAGAGCAACAATTTAGTCAACAGACTTCAACATTACTAGTAAAATTCTGGCTTTGCTCTTCAAGCCAATTACAAATGATTGTCAAATATACGTAGATTGGAATGTGTTCTTCTATTGGTTATAAACACATACTTAAAAAAAGTAAGCACAAGTAGACAAGAGGTTTCAAGGGAAAGTGGTATAAGGAACAGGTTGCCAAGGGTTTGAACAGAAGTTGAGTAAGGGAATGGAGAATGACTCTGAGGTCCCAATATGGAAGGGGCATAGGTTGATGAAGGAGGCAAAAGAAGCAAAACAAAGAGGAGAGAACAGGAGAGAAAAACTTGACAGGAATGGGAAAAATAGAATGTATTAGATAAGACACAGAAGAACCACTATGAAACAGCCAAGTAAAAAATTCAGCTACATGAGGAACACCAGGACAGGAAGAGAGGTAACTGTGGCACAGAGACCAACAGTGAAAAATGTATTTGTTAAAAAAAAAAATTTTGTTCAGAGCAACGACTTAGTCAACAGATTTCAACATCACCAGTAAATGATACACCAGTAAGGTCAAAGAATGGATGAAACTGGAAAAAGGGGAGGCTACACATGTGGGGAGACCAGACAGCCTCACAAAGGACCAGACAAATGCCATGTGTAAAGCCGGAGTGTGGTGACAGCAGGATGACACACAGATGACTGAGGTTGTTGAAGCAGGAAGAGGGAAAGAGACGATGACTGAAGTAGGGTAAGGACTGGAAACCAAGGTTGAGCAGGCCAGAAAGGTGCAATGAGAAGGACTGGGCACAGATTGAATTGGATAATAGATAAAGGAAGAAGATGAACAAAATGACAGGTATAAAGGTAGAGGTTGGACTAATCCTGACTGAAAGCATCTATCACCAAAGTCAAAGAATGTGGAACCTGAGACTAAAAAGAGAGTAGCTTAGAATTGAGGTAGGTGGAAAATTGTTCAGATGTTGAGTACCTTCACTGAGGATCTAGGGACCAGTCCGTGGGAAAAATCTTGTCGGGACAAGACAATAAAACTGGAAAAAGATTCAGAGTACCCAGGACATAACACACTTGTATATGTGTGTGTGTGTGTGTGTGTGAGATGTGAATGGACCTACAAAAGAAGTTCCAACATTCGATAACAAAGCAAACATGAATGTTGTTGATTGATGCAAGAGACAATGGACAAATTGGTCAGAATGTCATGACCAATTTCCCTCATACCAAGGTATTAGATGATCCAAAGCTCGTCAAAGGGCAAGAAGCTCCAGAAGATTGATGTGCAAAGCTGACTCAACCAAATACCAATGACTGATGATTATCTGGGAATCCATAATTGCTCTCCAACCCAACAGTGAAGCATCTGTAAAAAGATTAACATGGTACAGGAAAAAGGAAGAGGAATGCCTGTTGTGGTGGTGTCCCTGTTGAGCCACCATGCTAAATTGATGTGTAGTGAGGGAGGGAGAAGGATAACAGAGTCCAAGGGATCCCAAGCAAGATTCCACTGATTGTACAACACCCACTGAAGGGCACACATGTGAGCACGACCCAAGGAAGTGAAGGCTTCCATGAAAGTCCAAGTCCCCAAAAGAAAAAGAACCTCATGTGCAGTAAGAGAAGGAGAGGACTGTGCTTTGAGAACTAATAGTTCCATTGATCTCAACTGAATAGAAGGCTGGGTCTGATTGATATAGGAGTTGAAAAACACTCCCAAGTGAATGACATACTGTGTTGAAATGAAAAAAGACTTCTCCAGCTTGACAAGCCACCTCTTGAAGAAGTAACTGTTTGTGCTTGCGAGATGTTTGAGATGAGGGTAACAGCAGCCAGTCATCCATTTAATGATGGAAGCGCAGTCCTTGAGAATGAATGAGTCAAGCAAAGCTCTGACCACCTGACAAAATACGTAGGGTATGAAAGCCAAACCAAATGGTATAGCATGGAACTGATAAACTCAAACTTTGTGGAAGAATCAAAGGTAATGTCTGGATGTTGAGAAAAAATGATGTGAAAGTAAGCATCTGAGATGTCCACCATCGTCATCTAAAGACCAAGAGTAAACACCCAATGACAAGTGAGGAAGGACTCTGTGGTGAAACAAGCAAGATCAATGAAACAGTTGAGACTGGAAAGATCTATGACAGGATGCCAGTCCTCAGTCTTCTAGGGAACTATGAACAACCTTGAATAGAACCTCAGTGAAAGATGACTGACAGGTTTCAATATCATTCTTGTAGAGAAGAGTCCAAGCCATTTTGGAGAGATGCTGGCACAAAACTGGATCCCAAGGAGAAGGGAAAGTAATGAGAAGATAAGGAAGGTGAAGTGATAAAATTCGCAGAACATTTGAAGCACCCAAGGATACAAAGTGAAATTGTTCCATAGATGCACGAACTTGGCCAAACGTGCTTTGACCTTGTCACAACCTATGATATAGTCACTGGTACCATTGATGGCAGTAGTGAGTAATTTGATGGTTAGTCACCAAGACCCGGTAGAGAACAGGCAATGGGGTGGAAGAGGGAGGATGTGAAACAGGAATGGGAGCAGGTGGAATCTGTATAAGTTTGGTTTAGTTTGAAATTTGAGCAAATCTACACAAGGGCTATCTCATTAGCCATCTCTATTTTAACAGTGAAATACTAGAGGGAAGGCAGCTAGTCATCACCATCCACTGTGAACTCTTGTAGAATAGTGTAAGATGCGAGACCAAGGATGAAAGGGAGGAGTGTTGATGAGCACATACATAATTGCACTGTATGTTTATGATAACAGATAGAGTTAGTAATATACTAGAGAAAATGGAAAATATATATTTTACCTTAAAGAAACTTTTGATATTCATTTATGAGGTTCTAGAGATCATACAAATGAAATGTGAAAATAGTAAGATAAAAAATAGTATTTTTATACTTCATATAAAAATGACCTTGCAGGTGAATTATTCAAAGTGCAAGTGCAAATAACTACTTCAAATACTTTTTTTTTATTAGAAATAGTAGAAAAAAATCAAAATTAGATGTTTTATTTTTCTGAAATTAAATACTTTTAGGAATGTTCTTGTCAAATTTAAACAATTTTATCCACTAGTTTTATTTTTGGAATGATATATGAAGAGAATGAAGTTACCTACTAAAAAAGATTGTAGCAGGTAGTCAGAGTAAATATTTTAATCTAGACGTTTGTTTACAAGAGAGATCTTGTCATGATGATGCAAAATTTCATTAAAGTTAATACCTTTGTAAAATCTGAAAGCTTCTTGTATTACACAGAAAACTAGATTGTATATAAAAAAAAGGCAGTGATTTAATGAGTTATTCAGCTTAGTGTCATATAGTGAGCTAGAAAGTAACTTAGTCAGCATGTTTCTTATAAATCTATAAGTGAAATCATTCTGAAGCTATCTTGTTAGTTAGATGTACAGAACTTTCAGAGCTTTTGTTAGAGAGTATGTTTGTGAAGTTAGGCCTCTCAGTGGACATAGTCTGCAGCAAATATTGTTGCAGCAGACTAGACATTATTTTTAACAAATAATTTAAAAGATCCTACCCAATAATAGAACACAAGACTACACTAGAAATAAATTAGGTTAACTTTAGTTATATACACTGCAAAAATGTTATTATCAGTTAAGCTTAAATATGACTATCCCAAATACATCCAATTATATTCAATTTTGGTTCCTTAGTTTTCTGTCTATTTGTAATAAAATTAGTAATTCTTTCAAGTCTGAAATAATTTCGTGTAGAACAACAATATAACAAATAATTTAATTAACCAATGTCTACAATGTACATTATTCATTTCAAAAAAAAAGAAAAAAAGAACACTATATATATTTTGTGACATAGTTTTACGATGAAAACATAATTGCTGCACAAAATAAACATTTCCTTTATATGAATATTATAATAATTTTTTAATTACCGAAGCTGTTTTTTCAGTTCAGAATTTAATTGGAAGCATTGAAAAATATGTTCTTACCTTCTAACGAGACTCTTCTGTGAGAATAACTAGAATATGAGTAACAACTCAAAGCATCTTGTATACTCTCCATATAATGGTCATCATCTTCATCATATTCTGTTATTAAATCTTGACCCTACAAAAATATTCACATGTACATCTAAACAGTGTTCATGTTCCACCTTCAAATTTAGTACAGCTACAACAAAATAACTCTCTCTCCAGGTGCATAATTCTGATAAATTTATTAATCATCAACTCTAATGCATTCATTTTAATATGTTTTCACTTACCTTATCTTCTAATTACTAACTAATGGCATATACTTTGTTCACAAGTGTTGTAATATTACAACTATATATACTACGAAGTTAAATAGCCTTATAGAATAATTTTTATGAAACAATATATTCATTTGCCTTCTATCACATTTAACATGTGTAATATAGCTAACTCAAACCACAGTTCAAGGTTACAATGCTGAATCATTTAAATAACCAATACATCAGTAAAATTAAATCTTCACTTTAATCCAACAATTTCAAAAATTCTAATTTATGATCACCACCACCACCACCACCATCTCAAACCTAGTGTATCAGTAAAGCTTCATCACTACTTCCAAACCTATAATTTCAAAACTAAGACAGCATCTCAAACATTAATATATTCCTTACCTGTAAGTATATTCAGACATATAAACACCTCTTCACAGATCTGATAGCTATTACCTTGAACCACTGATAAAGATTACTGTTCACATGTACTTAACCAGTTTATGATACAACCTGCATTAGACTATAGCTTTCCACCACTAGGAATAACAGTGAACAACATTAAGACATTTTGAATGGTTGTCCTTTGGATAACCACCAACCAGACTTTGGTTGTCCTGCATAAAGAAAGGTTGTCCATCCATAAGTAAAAGTTTTTCATCCTAAACCTGTTCCAAATTTTCACAGTGTTCACTCAGACAATCACATAGCAACAGTAGCAGATGAGAACATAAACAGAGTGCTTATATTTGTAATGCCTTTAATAATTTCATTGTTATATCATTGACACAATGTTGTATATTCACTCATACCTCATCATAAAACTTCATCCTACATTACTTGGAAAAAGTTCTATTTTGTTTTTTAGAATTTAAATAATTACCATAAATAAACCAACTCAGGTAAAATAGTGGGATACAGTAATGGAATCACTAACAGAAACCCTTAAAAATATTATAGTGAAAATGATGCAAAAACTTGCTGAAGTTGTGTATCAGTGTTCAGAGAATTTACTTCCCTATTATTGTAAGTAATACACTAAAAGGGGTATATTATGCCAACTGTACACAGTGAATAAGGCTTTGTTTACATCTGAAAAATCCTGCAAGTAAATGTTCTTTTTCTTGTTCATATTTTCATGAATGTTGCATCCACTCCTATCATAAAACTCTTATAATACAGTGATTAACACAAGGCTTATGTTAGTCACTATTGTAACACAGATTTGCCACAGTAGCAATTATTTCACACCAAAACAAACTCAACTTTCTGTAGACAGAAAAAGTCCATGTATTTGTTTTACCTCAATATTAGAAACATTTCTTCTCAAAAACTCCAAAGTATTTCAACTAAAAGACACTGATAATTCTTCTACCCCTCCAATGGAACTGTTAACTTTCACCCAAGAAAACTTATCATAAATGGAACAATTGTCAATTGTGATCAGTTTAACTATCACACATATCACATTGGATTTTAATTAGGGATATTACTAATGTGGAGATTTCTTCCATGGTGTGCACACGACTGGGGAACTTCCACACACTATTACAAGTACCTTGGAAGGCAGGCTGTAAATTGAGCCTTGTAGTACAGCATGCACAACTAGAAGTAGTGTCTTTGGAAGTTTCTATGCCAGTAAGGACTCGTAATATGAAGTGTGTGCCTCAGAGCTGTTCAATACAAACATGACAATAACATGGAAATTATTACATAGTTAATAATATTCTTGCACTACTTACATTCCATTTCATCTCCCTAGTTTAACATTGAAATGCTCATACAAGGCAGTATGTACAGCTTTGAAATGTGCAATAATTTGGTTGTCAAAGGTCAACCTCAGTCACTAAATTTTGCAGTATTTGTTTGTCCGACAGAATTTCTGGTTGTGTGAGATGACCATTAAATTTCTTCAATGAAGTTGATGCATCCTTTATGCACAACTAACCCCAAAAGCACCTCATGTATTAACAAAGACATATTCTAGACAAAGCAAAAGAAACACTTGAAGTAAGACGGATGTGTGGGAGGTTCTGTAAAGAGATGAGTATCTTCCAGAAATACATTTTCAGGTGAAGAAAATATTAACTTCAAAATATGCTATTCACATTTCTACAGAACAGCTAGAAGTCCACATTGATAAGATGGTGGGAGTACAAGTGTAGATAATGAAATTAAAAGATGAGCTCCTTTTTAATAATAAGTGGAACATCACTTGCTGGGAAACATTCATATCATGCAAGGAATACTCTTCACACAACAGAAGTGGCAGAACAAAAGGTACAGTCAAAAGAACATCCTGCACGGTGATAAAGTGTTGCATGGATGAGCAGAATGCAAGAACTGCTCAACTGGCCTGTATATTTTGGAGGATCATCAGAGTATGTACTAGTAATGTAGCTTGGGCACTAAGTCAAGGTATACAATATTTGAGATATACTTACCAGAACAAGAAGGTGCAGGGACAAATCATCCAAAACCTGCAACCAAAAGAAAATGTAAGACTCAGTGTTGGTCTAGTTCTTAGTGTAGGGGGTATCCTGTACTACATTTCCAGGTAAACACCCAAGCCCTACTTTTGATCAATTGAGGCATCTCTCCAGTTTCATACAAGTAGTATTAAAGTCATTACATTCCCTTAAATGGAACACTACATACTGACCTCTCCAGTGAATTAGGATTGGGGAAGCAAGGGTTCCCTTTACTCAACTACAAGATAATGGGAGGGAGGAATATGCATGGGGAAGAATGATGGAGAGATACTTAGATTGAACAGGAATCATCCCATATATATATATAAAGCACACACTAATAAATGGTGCAATGAGTTATCATGAATATGTACAACAGGTGCTAAACAGGAGTAGGAGTAGGGTCACACCTGGTACTGTTGTTGTTTTTTTGTTTGTTTGTTTGAGAGGTAAATATACTGTCAAAGGTGGCACTGAGCAGAGACAAATGGGCTTAATACTGTCTGTTATCCCTTACCTGATGACGATTAAGGGAGTGAGAAATTTTCCCTGTATGGCAACACAGTCAAGTTCCATCATCTCTAAATATAAATATATGGAAACAATAATATGGTTGTGAAAGCTTCAATAAAATAATACTGAAAAACTCTTTTCTGTGCCTCTCTGAAGATTGGAGAATGGCAACTGGAAGAATATGACAAACAGAGGCAGATGAAACTACAATGTGTTGTACATAATGCAACACAAGATGTCAAAGGCCATTCACACACCTGCCTGTAAGATCTCATACTGGGGTCATTGATGGTTAGAGGCAAAAGAAGTAATCAGGTTGTAAACTTGATAAGAAGTGACACAAAAAAACAAATAGTATCACAACCCAAAAAAGAATCAACTACCCAGGTGAATCATTTAACACAATCATTCAAAGTGGAAGGAGATAAGTTATGAGAGGAAGAGGCACACACAAAAATAGAATGAGCTGTTTTGACAGGACAAAGGAGGCAATTGAAGTTAGAACAATCAAACAGAGAAGAAATGGATTGGGGAATATCGAAAAAACAACTGATCGTCCTTCTTGGCAGCCCAAGTCTTGAGTAGAAAGGAGCAGTTTGGGAATAAAATCAACTGTAACTAAGGAAAAAGTGAAGATGTCCAAGAAAAAACTTCAGTACAATGTCTCTGACAAGTGTAAAGAAAACATATCATTAGTTAAAGATGGTACAGGAAATTAATGTTTAAAAATTAAAATAGGGGAAACATGGAAGCCTTGAGAACTAAACAGGGATTTCAGTCCAGAAAGCAAACAAATGAGGAAGCTATTTGATAAGAAAGACCCTGCAGAAGTCCGTACAAGGCAGAGAAAGAAAAAGAGAGTGGTTAAAGAAGAGAAAGAAAGTCATTGACAAAAAATATAGAAAGAGAATGGATCAATCCTGACTCAGACCATCCACAGCCAGAGCTGCAGAGGCTTGGTATGATGATTAAGAAAGTGGAAACTTGGCAGTGAGAGGAGTCACAATGGCATCAATGAGAATATTCCAAAAGTGGGAACAAGTACACTAAAATACCAGAGGATGTAGAGACCAGTCCATGGGATGGATCTAATATAGATAAGACAACTGATCTTCTACAAAGGTGAAAGTTCCCAAACTATGACAGGCCAATAACCAAATACGGGGTCAAAAGAGAAAGTCAATAGTCAGAAAAAAAAAAAAGGTACTGAGAGCAAGTGCCTCCTTGACAGATGAAAGAAACAATAGAATTGCCTGAATGAATTATAATAAGATTACCAGACAGGTGAGACAGAAGATGATGGTAAGTAAAGGAAGCAAGTGTCCACAACCACACATCATTCAGACAGAGCAGGATCTATGAACATATGCAAGTTTAGATGAGGTGTGGGAAGAGGGATGTTCAGGACTATGTGGAACCAATCTGAGCAGACATAATAGCAAGAAGTGAAGGAGAGATACAAAAGAAGTGGATATATGATAGTTTGATAACCTTCTCTCCCTGGGTACCCTTTACTGCCCATGACACAAGGTTTTAGTGTCTTACATTCAAAATTTAATTAGACTAATTTTTTTATGTTATACCAATTAGAATAGCATAAAATCTTAGCTAATAATCCATATCTTAATATTATACAAGTTTTAAGTTCTTAATTCTACAAGGAAATATATAAAAAAATCCTGAATTTTCACTAGTGTGACACATTTTGTCTTAGCATGTCATCATCCCTATTTTATGGCATATTGTATAACATTGTGTTTTTGAACAGATAACTGTCAATGTCACTCTGAGTAACAACATCGTTCCCGTTGGAAAGTTAATGACTATCTTGGATGAATTTCTAACGGCTCATGTCACATA